TCAGAGAGTTTCTTCTCTAACTTGGGAATCACTTCATCAATCGGTCTCCTTAAATTCCCAATGAAAATCCCTCCGTCCCCGAATCTTCTAACATCCGTCGCAAAAAATGTGTCAAAACCAAAACAACTCTTCAACTGCACAAACAAACAAACAAACAAACAAACAAACAAACACCTTCATTGCCATTCAAATTCAACAACAACAAAGAGTACTTATTAACACGAACTTCACCTTATTGAGATCAAGAGCTTTGAAAGTTTCCTCAACTTTTTCTAGCCTTTCTTTTTCCATAACCAAATTTCGACGAACCAAGTTGTTAAAAACACCAACAATTGGACTATTCTTAGTTCTTTCATCATCAAGCTCCTTTAACTTCCTATCAGTTCTCTTCTTCTCCAGCTTGATCGCTGCTTCAATTGACGGATTTCCCATAAAGTTCTTGAACTCTTCATCCGTTTTCCAATCCATTTCTTGTTGTTCTTTTTCATCCTCGTTTGTTTCTCTTCCAACATCATCATTGTTATTGTTGTCGCTGTTGTTGTTTATGTTGTCTTGTTTGTTAGGAGCAATAGAAACTGGTGATGAATTGGTTTCGTTTTCGTCTTTAAGGGATGAGAATGATTTGAAGTTAAAGGAAGTGGTTTTGAGTTTTTTGGAGTACTGTGAAAAAAGAAAACAAGAGTGATGAAGTGGTGAAAGGATTGGTTTGGAGTTGGTGTTGTTGAAGGGAGAGGGAGTGTAAGAAAATCGAGAAAGTGTTGCCATTTTTGGAATGATGATGAATTGAATGAAGTATTTGTGGAGTGTCCATGGTTGAAGTCAAGAAGGTTAGAGAAGTTTAAGGAAGCTTCAAGTACATCAAAAGTTGTCTTTTTCTTGCTTCTCTTCTATATAAAAAATATTTTTGCAAGGATTAAAAGAAAATAAAACATTATCAAACATTAAATAAAAAGTATTTGTAAGTAAAAAAGTTAAATAAAAAATTACAGATACTAAAATAATATTGCTAGGACTATTTACATGGAGACAAGTGAAATCAATTGATCAAACATAGTAGGTGATTCTAATCAGAAGTGGAAAAAAAGTTGACTTCAAGAAATAATTCAAGAATGGTGACAAGCATGCAGACAACCAAGATTCCTCCATGAGAATGGGTGATAAAGGTAATAAATATTCAAAAGGGTTTGGTTAAAAGGAATAATTCAATGTTACAAGTGTAAGAAATTTGGTAATTTTGCTGATAAATGAAGGTCAAGTAAAACAAAGCAAAAGATGAGTAAGGATGATGAAGGCTGCTATAATCATATGATTGAACAAAAGGAAAGGTTGGTCGATATTGATATAACTTGAGCATGCAAAGTTTAATTTATGTGCTTCATTATCAGAATGATTTAAGGTGGTGAAGTTTATGGATAGTAAAGTTGCAAATCAACTCAATAGTAGTTGTTTAATTTTGATGATGATAACATTTAATATCAAATGATATTCAATGAAGTCAGTATCTATTGAAGATAGTTCGAGAAGTCGAAGATGCTCAAGATAATTGAATAAGCTATCATCCTTAATCAAATTATGCTCTTGAAGATCAAGACATTTATTTAAAGTCAACATTATGATCAAATGACTTTCAAGTGAAAACGTTTGTTTTAAGGGGCACTTGTTGTTTAACCTCTCAAACTCTTAGGTGATGGATGGTATTCAACATGAAAGTATCCCAAGTCTCATCAATAAGGTTTTTGTGTGATGTTAAACTCAAAGATAATGATGTAATACTTAAAACTTCATTATTGTGAAAGAGAGGAAGTGTGAAAACTCGATTGGTCGTGTATGCCTAAGTAACTAGTGTCTTGTAAAGACACAAGGGTCTTTTTGGAAATGTTATGGCTAAATCACATGCACATACACTATATACTTTTTAGGAGCCTTTCATATTTCATTTAAACCACCTAAAAATATTTCCGGGGTCCAACTAGTTGATTGAAAGATCTTTTTTAACTGAATAATCGATTATAATATAAACCTAATTGATTGGGCCATGATTGGTTAAGTCTAAAATCAATTGGGACAGACTCTTAATGATTAGTAACAGCTAAATATTAAAACCTTTCAGTCAGTTTTGCCTTGAAGAAAAATCCATATTTTGATCCGTGAATATTAGCTAGTAAAATCTCCACAACGGTTCTTGAACTCATCCCTATTAAAAGCTCTATCGATTCAAGATCAGCTCGGTTAAAATCTCACTTGGTTCATGAGTTCAATTTGGCATAAAAACTCAATAGGTTCGAGATCAATCTAGTGAAAATCCCAACTTAGTTTGTGGTTAGCCTGTATAAAATTGTGGTTCAGTTCGGAGGATAGCCAACTAAAAACTTTGTTTTGGTTTGATATCAGCCTTGAAAAATCTCTTTTGGTTTGGAGAATAATTTCTCTAACCCTTGATCATTGTTCGGTTAGATTGTAGTCTAAAAACTTAATTTCCTTGTATAAGGAGAATTGTGAAAAGTCCTTCTAAAATCTCTTAAGTTTATTATACTTTAAGAATAATTTTTTAGGACAAAAGTAGGACATTCAAGGTCGAACTTGTATAATTCTCTGGTGTTCTTCTCTTTTCCCTATCTATTTTATTTTCAGTTATTTTTCCTTCCTTTGCTTTTTCCGCTGCATATTTGCTCAATTGCTTAAAATATTTTTAAACTCTGATTTTACAAATAATTTTGTTTTAAACCAAAGTTTTTTATAACTCCACAATTAACCTCTCACCCTCTATCTTATGTATAGAGTCACATGTCCAACAAATGTCATCATAGTCTAACTTTCGTTTAAAGACAAATCATCTTAGGAGAAATATGACTTCCAACACTTCTTTTAACAATAAGATCTTTCTAAAGACACATTCAGAGTTTAATGGTGATAGTTTTGAATTTAAAATTATCATTCAAAATATTAATATTAAATTGTGGTAAAGAGTAATCAATAGTTTGTTTATCTCTACTCACTATATTATTAATAATGATGTAGTAGATAAACTTAATTTTCTTTAGACATTAAAAAAAAAAAGTTTGAACTTTTTTAGTTTTCTGAAGTGTAAAAGAAGAAAAGAAGAGATTGTTTTGGAGTCGATGGTCTTGAAGGGAGATAAGTATAAGAAAATGGTGAAAGTGTTGCCATTTTGAGAATGATGACGAATTGAATTGAAAGAAGTATTTGTGGAGTGTGCATGGTTTAACTCAAGAAGGTTGCAAAAGTTTAAGGAAGGTTAATGTTCCTCAAATGTTCTTTTTCTTGCTTCTCTTCTATGATGTACTTTTAGATTCTGAAGTTGAACTTGATGTTCACTACATATATTATGAAAACAAAACAAAAAAATAATTTTACAAGGTTTAAAAACGAAACAAAAAATGATCAAAAGAGTAAATATAGACATCTGTAAGTATCAAAATCAAATAAAAATTTAGAGATACTAGAATCAAAAAGTAATATATTTAAGTAAAATATTTATTAGAACTATTTACATATTTAAACATATTTATTTGCAAAGCTTGGTTCACGGGATTTAATTTTTTATGATAAAACAATATTCAATGTAAAATTTAATAATGTTTTTGTTGTTAGAGTTAGTGTGTAACTAACTAATTAGTTGGTGTAACTAACTAACGGCTTGTTAGTTAGAGGCTTATTTGTATAAATGCATTAACATGTGTGAATAATAATAGGACAATCACATTTTTACAATTCAATTCTTCTCAATTATTACCCTCTTATATGATATGTATTCAAGCGACTTACATAATTTAGAAAATAGATTAATTACTATGTATTGATAGTATAAAAAATTTTAAACGGTTAATTAATCATTTTTATCTATTGGTATTATTTTATAAATTTTATAAATTATTAAAATAAAAGTCAAATTTTATTTTTTATCCAACGATTATAATTAATTGATAGTGTAAAATCTTTTTACACTATAAAATCTTTTTACATTCTTAGTACATTTCAATTAAATCCCTTAAAAAAATATTATAAGTGACTCTTATTATCAGATCGGTTAGAAAAGATTTTGATAGACTTTTATTACTAAATTTTTAGAATACCTTTTTTTTCAAACTTAACCATTTTTTAAAGATTTTTTTTAATTATAATAAATTTTAATCTTGATATTAATATTTTTCATTTTTTTTGTTTTGGTTCGATTCGATTTATTTATCATTTGATCTGATTTTAAAATGTTCGTTTTTTTTTAGTTTCTTTCAAAATGTTGGTGTAAATGCTTTTATAAGGGATTACAAAAAATATATATATATTTATCGTCCTCCTAAACATTGAGTAAATATTAAATATATAAAAGAGGTGATTCATATCCCATCGCTTTAAGATTTTGAATAAAAAGATCTTTTGAATTATAAACGTTTAATTCATTAACACTCCATGGACTCTCAAACTCCAGAATAAACACTCAAATGCTAAATCAATGAATAAAAATGAAAAATGAGTTGAAATTATACATTTCTTTTCCATTGATACTTTATTACCTCATGAATGAGATGTGTGATTATTTTATATACGAAATTTGTGTATTCATGAATGAGATGTGAGATTATTTCATATCCAGAAAGTTGTTTAAGTGTTCATAACTTGGATAGATGTGAGATTTTTTAAATGGGACCTTTGCCAACTCAAAACAAATTCCATTGAGTCTTATGAAAAAAATCAAATGTGTTTTGGTAAATAAAAACATTAAAACTAAATTTCATTTCGGACCAGTGGCTAAAGAAAAGCTCAAAGTGATACCGATCAATGAAATCATAAATCTCATAACAAAATGAAGAGAAAGCAAATCCTAATCATACACTAGTGAAAGAAACCAACTATTGAAATTACATATTAATTATTCAACAGAAACAACCACTATTACAATAACATCACTCTCTAACCCTTCTTTCTTTTATTATTTGCTTTACAATTACAATTCAAACTCTTCCTCTTTTCACTTGCCTATTTCATACACCATTGACACTATGTTTAGCTATTTTCTTCTTGCTATCTTCAACATACTTACCAGCAAAAGAATCAAATAAATAGCCAGCACCTAATCCAACAGCTAAATCAATAGTGTAATGGCCTCTTGTACCAAGCAACCTCACAGCTTGTAAGACATTCAATACATCAAATGTCCATGCCATCTCCCACCTCTTCATCCTCCTCATGTCTAACGAAGCTATCATCGAACCCGCCACATGGCCAGAAAAAAACAAAAAGAACGACACGTTTCCGACAGGAAAGTCCACGCCAGAACCCAGAAAATCCTATTCATCGTCAAAACAAAAACATTGTTAGCAACTTCATCAACAAAACAAAATAACAATTGAATCGCCAATTTAGTCTTGCCATTATAATCGCTGGACAATTAAACTTTGTTTTTAAGGAATTCAAATCCATAAAAGCGAAGGTCTTCGCTAAACTTAGTATATTAGGTTCTGCACTGACTTGGACAATAAACTTACAGCTATAAACCACATTTGAGGTAAAAGTTCTAAACCTCATCTTCAATATAGCATCAACTCTAAAAACAAAAAAGTAAATCTCTTACATTTTAAGCTTCTAGAAATAGAATCACTTCTACACTAAGCATACACTTAGACTCAAGTGAGTTGATCATTAAATTTCAGTGTAAATATCAATTTTAGACTCAAAAGTTAGAATTTTAGAGGAATCAAATGTGTGAAAATCAATTCTAAACCACATTTTTTAAGCATAAGCAGAATTCATTGTCTAGAATCACTTCTATTTCCGACAAAAAGTGAATCCAAATATACACAATTTGTTCTTTTGAATTGGTAAACTTAACTTTTAACATTGTTCTTATGACTAATGCAAAACAATGAAACTATGTCAATGAAACGAATGAATCACCTGAGGCAATGGTAACTGAGTGGAATACCCCAAAATCCCACGACATGTAAACATGAAAAGTGTTGAAATTGTTGCTCTAGGACGTCCTTCAATCAACCATGTCCATAAGATATAACTCGTTTGCATTGCCACAAACACCTACAATGCAAAAACAAACATCAAATTTTAACTCAAACAAAACCCAATAGAAACAATAAAAAAAAAAAAAATAATCAAATTTTGACACAACCCATTTTCATTTCAAACAATCACAACCCAAACCCCAATTACCTACACACAAAAAAACTACAAAGTGACAAAAAGCATGTTGTCGTTCAGATCTAGAGAGCAAGTAAACGACAAACCGTATTGAGTGCGGCGAGAAGATTGTTAAGCTCAGGCGAAGACTCAAGAACGCGATGAAGAGAGCGCGTGGCGATGAACCCCAAATCAAACGGTGGAGAAGAAGAAGGAACCATAAGGAGCGTGTACTCCACGGCCATGAAGAACAAAAGACCACAAGCAAACAAACAAGGCATCCAATGATGTGTCGCCACGTGTACAACATCAGATAAAGTCCATTTCAGAAACGAAGCTTGAGAAAAGAGAGAAGAATTCTTCGGCATTGAATCCGTTGCGTTAACACCGTTAGAATGAACGGTTTGGCTGCTGCGTCTGCGATTCACGACGGAGGCGTCACCGGAGGAGGAGGTGGCGCCGCCGTTCATGGTAGTTAGAGAATGATAAAAGTGGGGATGACATTAAGGAGTGGTTGGGAATTGGAATTTATACGGATCGGAAAATTTGAGGTTGTAATTGACGGAGTTTCCGAAGTTATTATGATGTTCATGTACTGTGCATTTCTTTTTGGGAAAAGGAAAGTTTTTAAAAAAATATATAAAAATAATTTGTGTGGATAAAGTACAAAAAAGGAAAAATTGTGATTGGTGAGGATGTGTAGGTGATGTGATGACATTTTGAGTTTTGTGGTCGGTGATGTGCCTTACTTATATGCGTGGGAAGGTAGGTGGTGAAGAATTGATAGGAGAGATGAGTGTGTTTTATTAAGAATATTTTACTAGTTTAGGGAAATTTAAATGTCTTGAGACACTCTTTAAATGTCTAAAAATAAATTTAATATAACTTTTATATATTAGAAATGAAAGTATTTAATTTTTGAAATAGATAATATATAAATTTGAATCTGATCAATATAATAAAATTTATACAAAAATAGATGGCAAACGAAGAAGAGTTGTGTTGCTATTTTTTTATGGTAAAATTAATCATTTTAAAAATTTGATTCATAGAATTATGAAATATAACATTGTTTTTCACGCACTCATGATAGTTGTGATTGTCTGATTTTGATCAGACAGTCTAAAATCCAATTTCTCATCTTTGTGTTATTGAATAATATTGATTGTATGGAAGCTTTGAAGCATTTATGCCACTTTATTGTTAAGAATTATTTTTATAAAAAAATCTTAACAGCGTGTTTAGATGAAATTATTAAAATTTTTAGATAATTTAAAATTTTAAGTAATTTAAATGATTCAATTGAAATCCGTTTATTTTTATATTCATTTATTTAAATAAAGTATTAATATGATTCATTATTATATTTTTTGGAGTCATTTTCATATATTTAAAAATTTTGAGGCAAATTTAAAATAAAAAATAGGAGCTAATTTGTAATTTGTTAAAATTTTAAAAGGACTCGTTTGTAAAATTTGGAATTTCTTATGGATTAATTTGCAATTTTTTGAAAATTTTGATGGTGAATTTGAAATATTAATAAAATATGATTACAATCTTGCAAAAATTAAAAAAAATCAATAATAAACAATTTAATATTTGCATTATATAGAGTGAGAGAGCAATTTCAAATTCTTTACTTGTTGATGTCATTTGAAGTTTCTTAAATTTAACTTGAATAAATTACTTCATAAATTTAATTATTTTAACAATTCTCCATATTATATATATATATATATATATATATATATATATATATATATATATATATATATATATATATATATATATATATATATATATATATATATATATATATATATATATATATATATATATATATATATATATATATATATATATATATATATATATATATATATATATATATATATATATATATATATATATATATATATATATATATATATATATATATATATATATATATATATATATATATATATATATATATATATATATATATATATATATATATATATATATATATATATATCTTATTTATACAATATATAAAGGGAATACTTTGTTTTGGTGTGGCTTATTTTTCTACCATTTTTACCCTTATTTTATTATGTAATTTACTTAATAACTTCTTATTATTAACTTCAACATAATTTATTATTTTTAACTTTCACATAATTTCTTATTATTAACTTCCACATATTATATTTTTAAAAAAAATTATTTTAACAAAAAATATTATTTATATTTTTATGTGTATTAAAAAAGCGGACAGATGGGCACGTGAGTGCGTGTCTGGACGCTAGTCTATAACTATATATAAAGGGGATACAAGTTTTTGGTGTGGCTTTTTTTTGTTCCAAAATTACCCTTCATCTTTTTTATCAACAAGAAAATAGTTTAATTTAAAATCTTGAGCGGTTAATAACTTTTGTTGATTACCAATTGAAAAAGTAACTTCCATCTCTCATAAAGAATATCTCACACCTATAACTTTCATTAACTACTAAGTGGTGACAGAAGTTAAAAATTCTCTTCTATTTTTTTATGTAAATTTCATCTCTTTCTCAATGAATATATTTTTTTTTAATTTTTTTCATTCTATAATATTTTCATTTATTCAATTTTAATTAGTGATATTTTTATTTTTGAAAAATAGATGAAACTTATTTTCAGTCAAGATCGCGCCATCACCCCTAATAGAAGAAGTCGTTCTCATTATGACTGAAAATTGATTGTTGTATGTAGATTTTTTTTGTAATTGCTTTTATAGTAATAGTTTTTGTATGACTTTTGTAATTGAGTCTTTTTTAGAATTTTACCATTTACGAAACTTTCCTTTTTTTCAAAGCAGAGTTATTAATTATGGAGTAAAAAAAGATCATGTGATACTTGAAAAAAATTCCATACTCTAAAATACAATAAAATTCAAGTATTTAATGCAACCACAATGAGTATGAGTGGTTTTCTATTGCACTATTATTTTCTTACAAAAATTATATCTTAAACATTATTCATTAATGCTATAGTTTTAACTTTTTCCTTTTGTTGTTATTATGTTTTATTTCTTAATGATATTTATTTGTATTTTGTGAGTATAAACACATCATAAAATATGTAATTTAGATTTTCACAATACAAACAATTATTTCATAAGTATTATTTTTTGAAATGACGTGGTTTTTAATGGTGTTAGTTCTTTTGTTTTAAATTTTTATTTCTATCTTACTTTTGATTTGGTATTTGCTATTGTAACTATCTATTTGTGTGGTAATTTAATTATGATTTGGAGATGGTTTGTGTTTTTTTCATATTAAAAAATCATTAATTTGGTTAGCATTATTTGACATATAGAATAAAAGGAGAGATGAGAAGAGGATATAAGAGTGTTACATATCAATTTCTCATATTAACATTTTTTTTGTTGAATTTTTTAATGAGCACACACATAAAAATATAAACGAATAAAAAATTCAACAAATTATTATCATTTCATTTTTAGATCTACATTTCATTTTTTAGATCCATCATCTCATTTCTCTTTTCTTTTGTTTTTGAAATATTATGGATGACTTTAACGGAAGGTTGTAATATAACGGTATAAAATGAAATCTTTTTGAAAATCTTTCACAAACTTAATTGGTACACACAATTTTAATATTTCTTACATTGTTAACTTTCCTATGTACTATAGAAATAAAAACCATTCCCTCAAAAAATTATGTATCTTGATAAAAAAACAGTTTTAAAAATATTGTCACATTTATTAATACTTAATATACTGTTCAAATATACAATGACAGTTGCAAAAATATATAACTTCCATTATTTTATCTTTTATGTCTATATGTGTGACCTTGCTATTGAACAAAACTTTAAGTATGAAAAAATAAAATGAAAATATTAACAAAAAAATTTATTGTGAATTATTGAAAATTTGAAACACTGATCATTCACTTTCTTAAATTAGTTAAATTTTGTTGTTAATTTTTATTTATGATTTTTATTTTTGATGTTAAAGAGAGATGCGCAATAAATGTCATATTACTTACAAATTTAATTTAAAAATAATTTAACTTCTAATTAATTAAATAAGTAAAATTTTAAAATTTCTTACAAACATAAGGATGCATATCAGAAAATTTAGTATTCAAATAATTTAATTTAAATCATACTTAAATAAAAAAAATATTCATTTATATTATAAATGTGTATGCTCATTAAAAAAATAGACAAACACGAGAAAAGTTGTGGTGGAGCATACATGTTTGCAGGAGATATACGTGTTGTTCAGTTTATGATACAAACTCTGCTTTAAACACTTTCATCAAATTTATAAGAGAGAAAGGGGAGGGGAGAGAGAGAGAGAAATGCATATTACAAAGTTTACTATACAAATAATTTAAATTGAAATCAAAATTAAATAAAAAAATATCCGTTCGTATTTTGACGCATGTGCACATTAAAAAAGCGGATAGACGGGCACGTGAGTGCGCGTCTAGACGCTAGTATATATAAAGGAAATACTTTCTTTGGTGTGACTTATTTTTCTACCATTTTTACCCTTAATTTATTATATAATTTACTCAATAACTTTTTATTATTAACTTCCACATAACTTCTTATTATTAACTTCCACATATTGTATTTTTAAAAAAATTTAATTAAACAAAAAGTATCGTTTATATTTTCATTCATGCGCATTTAAAAAAGGGACAGACGGACACGCGAGTGCCCGTCTGGACGCTAGTATATATAAAATAAACAATGGATTTTGCTCAAATCATTTTGAATTTCCTCAAAAGATTACTTTTTCTTATTAAAATGTTTCATCCAAACACATTTTGAAATTTTTTTATCAAAATTTCTTATTTGTATAAAAAAAATATGGAAAGTTGTTAAAATGATGTAAATTTATGGAGTATTTTATTCATTTTAAATTTAAGAAATTTAAAATGACATCAAAAAGTAAAGAATTTCATATTGCTTCTTCACTTTTTATAATGGAAATGTTAAATTGTTTATTATTAATTTTTTAAATTTTGCAAAATAATCCTCATCTTTTATAAAAAAATTTAAAAAATTACAAATAAGTCCTTAATAATTTTTAAAACTTACAAATTGATCCCTTCAAATTTTCAAAATTTGCAAATTGGTCCATTTTTTTCATATTTTAAATTTGATCTAAAAGTTTTAAAATTTAGGCAAAATATCATTTTTTTGTCCCTTAACTATATTCTAAGGTTCAGATTGGTCTCATAATATTTTTTCGTGTCCGATTGATCTCTTAACTCTTAAAACATATAATGATAGTCCTTTTGGTATTGTAGCGACGAATCTAACAACCGATTTTTGAATTTTTTTTGTCGCTAATTAGATGGAAAGAACTAACATGACACATTTTAAGAGTTAAGAGACCAATCTAACACGGAAAAAAAATTAAGAGACTGAACTCAAGAGTATAGTTAAGAGACTAAAAAGTATA